TGGCATGTGGTGCTGGGGGATTGAACCGTGGTCCCTGGTGGTGGTGGTGGTGGTGGTGGTGTTGTGGTGGTGGTGTGGTGGTGGTGGTGATGGTGACGATGTTGGCGGTGGTGGTGGCAGTGGTACCAGCTGAGGAGGAAGCCACCCTACCCAATGATCTGGGAGTCTGTGTCTCTCTCCAGGCACCCACACTGGTTCCTACCACTACCCACTTTCTTCCTACGCTATCCCAGGAGCTGCAGGTCAGCGACACAGGGACCCAGGATGCGTTCATAGATGGGACCCAAGGCTGAAAAAGAAAGGCGTGCTTTCCTCCTGTCAGGGGGCTGTGGGGAAAATCTCTGTTCCCAAAATTCAAGATGAAGCCAGGTTTTAATCTCTGGGTGATCCTCAATCTTGACATCAGGAGGCTTTCAAATGTATGCAACCTGTACAACAGGGCAGGGCCTGCCTTTCAAAGAATCCCATGTATGGTTTAAGGTTCTTTCATCTCCAACTCAACATATTTGGTAATAAAGGACCCACGTTTCCCTTTTGCACTGGGCCTGCAAATTATGAGGTCTGCCCTGTGCACCCATTCTCTCAGCCACCCCCTCCCACCCACTTCTGCTTTTGTGAGAGCTCCTAAGATAACCACCTCCTATGAGTCAACCAAGGGACCACCCTCTGGCTTAAGACAGCAAGCTTTTCTAGGGACCTTCTGAAAACAGCACCAAGGCACAGCTACCACAGGGACTGTCAGGCTGGCCAAGGGGACCTGTCTGTTCAGAAGAGCCTTTAAATTCCACCCCATAGCAGCTGCCGGGATGAGAGGAAGGGGTAAGAAAGAACTTGAGGGGGCTGGGGAGATGGCTCAGTAAAATAAGCACTTGCCTGGTAAGCGCAAGGGCCTGAGTGCAATCCCCAGTTCCACCAAAAAAAAAAAAAAAAAAAAAAAAAAAAAAAAAAAGAACTTGAGCCTTGGGCCAGGCGGATTGTATTCAAATCCTGGCAAACAGTCTGGGTGGTCTCCTCTGTCCCTCAGTTCATCTGTAAGGGAGGGTTACAATTACACCAAACCTGAAGGCTATTAGGAAGATTGAGATAACATAGGAACAGTTTGAAATAGCATATAGATAACATATAGGAGTCAGGCAAGTAATAGGTTCTTGGTAAAGGTTAGCCTCTGAGGCCAGGCTCTCCCTTCTCAGCCCCACCACTTACTGTGTTATGGATTCGACTTCTCTGTGCCTTAGTTTCCTCATTTGATGCGTGGGAATAACCGAGCAGAACTTCGGGAGCTGCAGTTAGTGTCAGCATGGCCTCTCCTCCAGCAGCCCTGCCCTGCAGCTCCAGGCCTGCACCTTTGCTCTCTGTAGCCTGTGTGCACAAAAGAATCTCTGCTGGCCTGACTCCACGCCCAGACCAGAGCTCGTCCACACCAGCAGAGGAGTCTGGCTGGTGACTGAGGAAGGGGAAAACAGGGAAAGGAGTTCAGTTCTCCAGGGCAGCCACTCACATGCTAGGGTGGTGGCCACCATGCCCTGACTGTGTCTCCTGTTCCTCCAGATTCATCCTTCCCAGGAAGATGCAGAGGCTCACAATGCTCACCACTACTTTGGGCACCTACTTGGGCATGCTGGTGGCAGCAGCCATGGCAGGCTGTGACCCTACCCAACCGGACACTCCCAATCTGCAATGCATCCACAGGCGCCAGAAGAGAGACTGGATTTGGAACCAGATGTATGTTGATGAAGAGAAAAACACCTCGTTGCCCTACTATGTGGGCAAGGTAAGGCTCAGGGCCCTGGGAAGAAGACGTCATCGGCAGCCGGTTCATGGTGATGACAATGGCGATGGAATCTGAGGTGGCTGTAGAAATGGAAGTCACAGTTGTGAGGCAACGGCAACAGAGGTACAGATGACAAAGGTGATAGACCAGGTTGTAGTGGTGGTTTCTGTAGTGACAGTAGTGATAGCAAAGGAGAAAATACAACTAGAAATAATGGTGGTGGTGACAGGGAAGAGATTATGGCTGTGGTGGTAGTGGAGGTGTTGCTGGTGATGGTGACGGTGCTAGCGGTGGTTGTGGAAAAGGTGGTAGTGTGGTGGTGGTGGTAATGGTGATAGTGGTAAGGGTAACAGTGGTGGTAGCAATGGTAGTGGTTGTCATAATGACAGCGATAATGTTAGTGGCAGAAGGTGGTGACAGTAGTGCCTGTGGTGCTAGTAGCATTGGTGGTAGTGGTGATGGTGGAAGTGACAATGAAGAAATGTAAAGGAAGGTAAAGGTGGTGATGGTGGTGGAAATGGTACCGGTGGCAGTAATAGTGAAAGCAAGGTGAGGGAGTATTTGGATCTTAAATGTCTTCAAAAGTCAAGTGCCTTGTTGACAGCCTGTAGTACTATGAGAACGGTGGAGCCTCTAGGAGGAGAGACCTAGTAGAAGGTCACTGCAGGAGTTCTTGGGGACCTGCCCTTTCTTCTCTGTCTTTTCTTCTTGGCTGCCATGAGATGAGAGCCTCTGCTCTACTGTACACATGCCATGACAGTCTGCCTTGTCATGGGACCAAGGCCATGAGGGCATGTACCCGCACAGTAGAATGTCTGAAACTGTAGGCCCAAACAAGTCTTTTCTCATTATAAGTGATTACCCCTAGTATTTTGTCACAGCAATGGAAAAATGACACAGAAAATTGGTACCAGCAAATGGAGTCATTGCTGTGACTATACTTTAATAGCATGGGTCAGAAAACTTTGGAATCGTTATAGAAGAGGAACTTGGGGGAGCTTGGGGGAGCAGGCTAAAACATGTTAGAATGCTAGAACAGATCTTTTTAGGTAATTCTGATGGGGGGTCAGAAGGCCAGAATGCTGATACAAATGTGGACAGTAAAGACAGATACCTGAGATTGCAGATAGGAGCAAGAGCTCTGTTGAGAGTTGGGCTAGAGAGCATTTGTGTTATATTCTGCACAGAACTTGTCTGCATTTTGTCCACACCTTGAGCCTTGGTGGGCTAATTTTAAAGATGACAGACTGGTTCATTGGCAGAGGAAATTTCAAAGCAGTCCAGCATTCAAGTAGTGGAGTGGCATTACTATCTGTTTTTAGTCAGATCGACAATGAGAACTAGGTATAAAAAGAAGAGTGGAAAGACCTACAAGGTTTGCAGTTCGGCCAGAAAAGGAACAAATTTAAAGTTGCAGCTAAAGAAGGCCTGCTTGCTAGAGAGATTGATACCATTAAAAGGTAGCAACGTAGTTTTCATTGGAACAATAGGAAAAATAACTTGAGGGCATCTTAGGAATTGTCAAGACTCCATCCATACCAAACCAAGCTCTAGAGTGCTCTGTTCATACCCGCCTGCCTAGGAAACTTTTTCTGGCATTCATTTTCCTATGTTCAGTGATCCAAACACGCAGAGCTTGCCACAGCCTTGTTCTAAGCGGGTCTAGCTACTTCTTGAGCCACGGCAAACCTTGGCATCAAACACAGTATGCTGGTTTTGCAGGCACAAAAATGCAGCAGTTGTGGAATAGGGTTATGGAGACTTCCACCAAGATTTCAAAGGAAAGGCTAGGGGGTGAGCTTATATGTGGCAGAGTCAAAGGGTCTGTAAGCAGCCCCTGACAGAGTGATATATAGAGCTGTGAGAGTGAAACACAGCTGCAATGGAGACCCAAGGAAGTTAGAGATGCCATGAACATAGAATGCCTGCTGAAGGAAGCTACAGATGGACCAGATCAGGCCCAAGGCCATAGGGACACAGCTGCCCAAGCCCTTTTTACCTCATGTCATGCCACAGTATACCCCAGGTACTGGACATGCAGCTACAGGATTTAATGTTGGTCCTGCTGGGTTTGGGTCTTGCTTTGGTCAAATCTTTCCTGTAATACCCTCAATTCCTCCCTCTTGGAATGGGAATTTACCCTGTGCCATTGTGTCTTAAAAGTACATAATTTGCTTTATTTTCACAGGGACTCACTGGTAAGAGTTTACCTTGGATCTCACAGGAGCCTTTGGACTTGGGATTTTTTTGAACAAAACTGTAACCTTTAAGGCTCTGGGAACTCTTGAAGACGGACCAAATGTATTTTGCATTGTGAGATGGACATTAGCCTTTGGGGGCCAGAGGCAAAATGATAGGGTTTAGATTTTAAATGATCCCCCAGAGGCCATGCTCTAAAGCCTTTGTTGCCAGCCTGTGGTGCTGTTAGACAGTGGAACCCTTGGAAAATGGAGGGAAGTTATATCCCTGGGCCCTCCTCTCTCATTACTTCCTGGCCATCATGTAGTGAGCAGACCTCCATCACCACATGTTTTCACCGTGATCTACCACGCGGCCACAGGCCCAAAGCTAGAAGCCCAATTTTTTGATCCACCGTGGATCAAAAATCTCTGAAACCATGAGCCAGAATAAGCCCCCGCTCCTTTTTAAATTAATTATCTCAGGTGTTTTTTTTCACAGGAACAAAGAGCTGACTAACATAGGAAAAGTCATGATGGTGCTGGTGCTGGAGATAGTGAGAGTGACTGCGGTGGTAACAGTGAGGTGAAGGTAAGGAAGGTAATGGCGGTGGTGCTGGTGGTGCTGCTGCTGGTGGTGGTGACAGCGACGACGGTGATGATGGTCGTAGTGGTGGTGGTGGTGGTATGTAGGTGAGTGAGATACTGGTGATGGTGCCAGAAATGGTTATGTTGACTGTGCCAGTAATAAGAATGGTGAAACAGGTGAAGGTAATGGTGGGAGTAGTGATTGTAGAGATAGCAGTGATAGTGTTAACCATGATGATGGTGCAAACAGTAAAAGGATAGGTGATGATGCTGTTGAACGTTATTATGGTGAGCCTAGTGATGGTGATGGAAAAGGCGGTAATAGTGCTAATCATGGAGATTATGGTGGTAGTGACGGTGGTGACCATGGTGATGAGCGGGCAGAAGGGAGGAGTAGGGATGGTGGTAATGATGGTGGTTACGGCATTAATGTGAGTAACAATAGTGGTACTTGTGATGATCACAAAGATGGCGATGGTCATGGTGGTCATAAAGGTGATGGTATCAGTGATGGTGGCAGTAGTGGTGGTGGCGGCACCAAAGATGATGGTGGTGACAAAGGAGAAGTGATGACGGTATAGAGCTGGTAGAAGTGGTAGAGGTGGTGGCTGTGGTGATGAAGAGGAGGCAAATGATGGTAGAGACAATGGTCTTGATGGTGATGAAGACGATGGAGATATGGTGGTAGTGATGCTGGCAGTGTCAGTAATGTTGGCAGTACTGATGCTGATGTGAAGTAGAAGGAGGTGATAGTGGTGATCATGGAGATGATTGTGGTAGGCATGATGAGGATGGTGATGAGGATGGTGGTGGTGGTAATAAAGAAGTATTGAAGATGGTGATGATGACAGTGGTAGAGATGCTAATGAATTCTATGGTTTATTCGCTCCTAAACCTTACTAAGTGGACTAGCTACCGCTAATAAAAAAGTACCCTGTTCTGAGGCCACAGAGCCCAGCTGGCCTATGGGTTCTGAGTACAGCAGAACCAGCCCAGGCTGGCTTTAAATCCTCCCGCTTAAGATGGCAGTAAAAGCCTGAGAAATCTTCTATAAAACTGTGCAGGTAGAGGTTTTTCAACCCTGGTGGCCACAGCTTGCCATCCCTGCCATAGGCCTATGAACTTCCTTAAAATTTGCTTCTTTCTCACTATTTCTCAAGGCTCCCTATGACCCCATATGTCTCCCCAAATACAGGGTACCTATACTTAGACACCTGTGCCAAAGGCTCTAACCTTCACTTTGTCCTTCTTTAAATATGAACATTCCAAGCCCATGTTATGAAAGCTTAAAGCTAATCTGAATGGGTGCCAAATCATCTTACCACATCCAGTTGTTATCGATATCAAACCATCGACTCTAATTCAGAGGAATGACCCTCGTGATAGAATTTTTACACACAATGACATATAAATGGACCAGGTTTGTCAATAGAATTCTGTGACAGAAGTTCTGAGGAAGCTTCACATCTATTAAAATCTCACCATGTCAGCTCTTTCAAATCTACACACCAGCTACAGGAAAGAGCAGGTCAAATGTACTGGAGAAAGATTGATAGCACCTAGACCAGGTGCTAGAAAGACAGCAGCAGGGGAAGACAGACATCATCCCCACCATCATAAAGACAGGAGCCTACAGCAGGGATCTGGAACTACTGCCTACTGGCCAAATCTGGCACCTGCCTGGAATTGTAAATAAAGTTTTATTAGAACAAAGCCACATCCAGTCATTTACAAATTGTTGGTGCTAAGACAGCAGAGTTGAATAGTTGTAAAAAAAAAAAAAAATTTAAAAAGGTCATATGGCACAGAAAGCTGAAAACATTGATCTCCTAGCCCTTTACAGAGTTTACCCACTCTGATCTAGAGGATCAGCGTACATGAGACAAAGAACCCAACAAATAGCAGTTAGGACAACCCTTTAAGGATAGAGAAACAGGCTGAAGGGATGCCTCCCATTGGAAGGAGAGTCTGGCTGTGGCACCAGACATGTCCCCGCAGCCAAAAGAAGTGGAGGCACCAGCGAGGGAATCTCTTCTCGTGACCCAGCCTACAACCTGCTGACTGCCCATGAGCTCTTCTGACTCGCAAAAGTGGTTGAGCTGGAAACGTACATCCTCCTCCAACATGGCCAGTCAGAAGAGAAGACACCAGTCCAGAGTTACACGGTGAGACCGAGACAGAAAGAACCCTAGGAAAGCCTGGAGCTCCGGACTGTAATGCAAATGTCAGAGAGGGAAATGTCGTCAAGACACCTACATCCTTCCACACGGGATAACTGTGCCATGAGTCATCCTCTGAGGAGAATGGCTGGGAGCAGGGAAAATCAGCTGGTGAGTCAGGAAGAGTCAGCGGAAAGTGAGTCCACTGCACTGCGTTGTGTCAGGCCCGGGTAGGACGACTGTTAGAGGGCTTGCCCAAGGGCCTGCACACAGCAGGAAGAGTATCCAGCGTGCGTCATCTGTTTGGCAATTGACATGGGTCGTATGTGCCCCGGCCCTTGAAGAGGCAAGCACTGGACTGCAAGGATTGCCTCCTGGTGCCCTGCTCTCAAGGATGTAATTGGAGGGAAGGAAGTCTCTATTTATGAAGGTCAGAGCCTGGAGCCTTTGTTTACAGACCTGGATAGACAATGGGAGCCAGTTCTGAGAAGCCTTCTGAATCCACACATACACATCAGAGTGGCTTTTGGTGTTAGGACCCTCTGTCCACCGGGGGTCTCCTTACGACCCATAACTCTGGTCTAATCATTAACAAAACATCAGATAAATTCCAACAGAAAAGTATTGTACAAAATTCCTGATTAAGGGCCAGACAGATAGCTCAGCAAACTAAGCACCTGCTTAGGAAAGTGCAAGGACCAGGGTTCGATCCCCGGCACTGCATGCCACATGGGCCCGCAACTCAGGGCACGCTGAGCTGGTGACTGTGCGTGGTGGCACACACCTGTAATCCCAGCACTGGAGAGGCTGAAAACAGGAGGATCACTAGCAGTCCAAGCTGCATAGAGAGACCTGTACCAAATACATTAAAAATGAATGAATAAATAAATAAATAATTTTTTAAAAAATCCTGACTAAAACTCCTCAAAACATGCCAAAGGGCCAGAAAGATAGCTCAGTAAGACAGTGCTTGCCTGGCAAGCACAAGGTTCTGAGTTCCCTTCCCGGTACCAAAAAAAAGTGCCAAGGTTAAGAAAAAATAATAAAAGTCTGAAAAACTGGAAGAACTTAAAGGAACATGACAATTAAATACGATGTGATATCTCAAATGTGGTATTGGAACAGGAAAAGGACATTAGGGTGAAAAAAAAAAGGAATTCTATACAAATTATGGACTTCAGTTAATAATACACCAATATTGGTGTCTTTATTATATAACAAGTGCCGCATTCATGTAAGATGTCGATATGAGGAGGAAAGGGAGCAGGCATATAGGAACTCACTGTCTTCTCAGCTTTCTGTAAAATAGTGACTACTTAAGAAAAATTGGCAAGGGGAGGGTACAAAAGCTTCGCTGCACATGCAGTCTTACACGTAGCTCCAATACACAGATCCCGGCAGACTTGCTCTCCTTCGCCATCCCTTCCTGATGAACCTTAAGGCATATGCAGGGAACCCACTTTACAAATGCCATCTTATCCTAACCTGAGCAGCTCACACAAGGCCCCAGACTGTCCCTTTGCTTTGAGCCTCTCTGTCCCTGTGCACCAGAGGTGACAGAGCTTCTTGTCCCCCTTCAGTTCTGGATATGAAGCCTCGGGACCTTCTCACAGACCCACCTGCCCCACATAACCACGGTCCTGCTCCAGAGCACTGCTGCCCACCTTCTACCCACCCAGGGCAAACGCCCTCCCTCCCTGTCTCCACTCCCTCACCTTCCAGACTCTTCTCTACACTCTCATGTTAGGCTTCCGCGCCTGCCACCAGCTGCCACTGTGCTCAGCCAGGCCTCCAGTGATTTCAGGGCTGCTAAGCCCAGGAGACATGTTCTAGACCTCATGAGATTGGACCACAGCTTTCTTGCATCTCGCTGTCCTCTTCTGAGGTCCCACACGTCACGGCTTCTCCAGCCCTTCCAATGAGTCCTCATGGGACAGCTACCAAGGCTCTTGCTCTGACTGACCCTTGCATGCCACCTCCCTTCAGGATTTCCACTTCCAAGGCTTTCAGCCTTAGCCTTGAGAGCCAAGATGCGGTCTCTACCATCTCTGTGCCCCTAATGTGAGACCTGGCACTATTTTTCAAATTAAAGTATATTTTTCTGGACATTTTAGTCATCTAGAAGAGTGCTATTTTTTTTCTTTTTTTTCTGTTTTTTTTTTATTTTTTGACATCAGTTATTTTTATTTTAAAGAAAAAAAATAAAAACAATGGTACAAAATCTCAAAACAAGATTTTAGGAGAGTAACAATGGTTAGTACTAGAAGAGTACTATTTTACGTGTAAGAAACACTTATCTCGTGGTCCTGATATTCCCTATGATTCCATATTTGGAAAGTTCAGCACTCTTAACCTTTGAATATTCTTTAACTTGTATATCTATCCTTTACACAGTAACTAGAACTTATTGAAAGCCTGTTCTGTGCAAAGTGCTTGACAGATGTTACTTTCCAAACCTTATGCCAAATCGTAATAGCACATGCTCCAAAGAAAAACGGTTCATTGATCTAAGAAGCACAGGAAATCCTGAGTTAAACAAGTCATTTTCTGCAGGACTGGACATTATAAATCTCCAAGTCGAAAACAGTCTATGTTCTATTCCAAGACTAAATTGATGAGACCAGTTGGGACAAGTGACCCTCCTGGGGAAGAGGTCTTGATGTACAGCATTTGCCAGTGTCCAGCATCAGTGTTAGCACACCTGGCTGGCAGCTACCACTGGGACACCACTGAAGGCAGAGTTGGGAGAAGTACGAGGACAGGTCCACACTTAGTGTTGCTGTCATACATACAAAAGGCCTAGACAAGCTCGGCAACAGAGTAAAGTCTTATTGAAGATTTTAATGAAGAAGTGATGAGTTCTGAGTATTTGAGGCCTTTGTTTTTGGTGTGATATATTTAATTGACAGAGTTTAACTTTTAATAATGGCTGTATACTGAACAGCCAGCTCACAAATATAGCTGAAGCTTTAAGCTGACCCTGGAAAACCATGTTAACACAGCCCCGGCAGAGTTGGGAGAAGCCCAGCCCCCGCACTCCATGAACGAAACCCCATTTTTGTATGAGACAACACAAAAGGCCAATTTTTTTTGCGGGGGGAAGGGTCTACAGGGTGTTCAGGGTCTCACTACTAGATCAAACTCATAGTGATCCATCTATTTACAGCCTCTCAAGAGCTGAGATTACAGGCACGCCACCACACCCAGTCTCAATTGCCCTCTCAGCATGCCCCGGGGATGGGGCTGGCATGGCAGGCCCGGGGATTGAACTCCTGGCTCCTGTATCTGCTTGCAGGCACTTTAATCTGCTGAGCTATTTGGCCAGCCCAGGGCTCATTTTCAAAACTGCCAATCTACTCATTAGAGCAATTGGACTGTATCAGCTCCACTTTATTAACAAGGTAGCAATTGAGAGAAGAGAGATGTTCCTCGCCTTCCCATGCACTAAGCTATTATTTTTTCCACTCCAAAAAAAAAAAATGTCTTCAAGGACCTACTATGCTCTGGACCCTATCCTGGGCATGGGCAGTTTTGCATCTCACACCAGCATGGCGTTTGGGTCATTTGGGACTCATGGTCTGTATGACATACACATGCGCACATAGGTGCACAGATGTCCCTAACCGCACACACACCCGTGCACGTCCACACTCACAGGTGCACACACAGCCGCACTGCCTGCTCCCTACTCACACTGTGTCTTCTTTCTCAGATCAAGTCAAACATGAACCGCAGGAACGCCAAGTATGTGCTCCAAGGGGAGGCTGCTAACAACATTTTCCAGGTCAACCCAGAAACAGGGGATGTGTATGCTTTTGCAAGGCTGGACCGGGAGAAGGTCTCCTCCTACCCTCTTGTCGCCCTCATCGTGGACAAAGACACTGACAAAAACCTGGAGCCTCCTTCCACCTTCACTATCAAAGTTCATGACATAAATGACAACTGGCCTGTGTTCACACATCGGTTGTTCAATGCTTCAGTGCTGGAGATGTCACCTGGAGGTACCTGTTCAATCTGTCCCTTCCTTCCTCTCTTGCTTGTCCTTAGTCTGGAAGTAACTCTTGTATCCGCCATCTCACTGCCTGAGCTCAGGATTCAGCAAAGTGGCTGTAATGCCTATGCTGCTGCTTTATATCATTTGAATAAACTTGTCTCTAAAAGCTAAATGATGCCCAGAGGGCTGTGCCAGCGCGCCCCCCAGGGCAAGCTGAGCTGGCAAGTGAGACTGGGCATGAGGGCATGTGCCTGCAATCCCAGTTCTTGGGAGGCTGAAAACAGGACCATCACTAGGAGTCCGATCTGTGTCGTAAGACCCTGTAGACCCTGTACTAAGTACATAAAGAAAAGTTAAGTTCTGACTTACTCCAGGACTGACCTCTAATCCTGGACACAAACTAAGCCCTGATCCTCATCACAAACTGAGCCCTGGTCATCTGCGACACACATCTCATTACTGTTTGTAACAACCCCCACTCACTGCCTCTAACTCTCAGGAGTGACACACTAAGAGTGTACCTCTTGCCCCTAGATTATAACAAGCCCTGCCACCCATGCAAGAAGAGCCATCTCTAGGGGCTGTGTAGCAGCAGCAATGAATGACAGACCCCTGGTCCCAGAGTGTGTCACCACCCTAGACCTGTGATCAAGAGGCCACTACTCTCTTTTTCAATCCTACATCCAGAAAGTGCCAGAAAATGTCTTCCCTCTTCTGCTCCTCCTCCTTCTCCTCCTCTTCCTCCTCCTCCTGTCAGGATCTTTGGCAGAGTGTGAGGATAGACTTTCCTGGTACATGTGAGGGGATGCAAACTGTGACACTGTCCCTTTGGGGTCATTTCCATTTCCTTCCCAGTCCCTTGTTCTCATTCTTTCTGGAAAGGGAGACATCACACACACACACACACACACACACACACACACACACACCTATCTATGCACAAGCTACCTGTTCTCTTTTACTCTTTAAGTTTGACCTCTGGAGCCCAACACCCCCAGCATGTTGACCTTGTGCAGGGCTCTCAGGAAACCAAGAGACCTGGGAAGTGGTGACAGCAGTGCCCATCTGCCCTCACTGAGGACTGGGATGAGAAGTCACAGTCACAAGGCAGTAACCCAGGACCCTCTCTCCACAGGGACCTCAGTCATGCGTTTGACAGCAGTAGATGCAGATGACCCCACCGTGGCAGAGCACACCACCGTCATGTACCAAATCCTGAAAGGGGGTGACAATTTTGCCATCGACAATTCAGGTCAGGAGACTAATTTCCCTGGCTGGGCACCATGGAGGAGGCGTGGGGGAAGGGAAGTACTGCAGATGCAGATGCCAAGAGAAATCCAGCCTAGCAGATGTCACAAACCACTGAACCACACTGATTCATGGAAGTGACTTATGACATGCATAAAGACAAGAACAGAGGCTGGCTGCAGGAAACCAGAGCAGAATGTCCAAACCATAGAGTGCAGTTGAGCAGTGCACGATTCATAAGCAAGTAGCTCCAGAACTAAAACAGGTTCCAGAAAAATACATGGTGAGATAAACTTTAAGAACAAATAAGTTAAAACAGGTAGATCAGTCCAGAAATGGGGATGGGTTACAACTTGGGGTTCTGTCCTATTGGTGTAGAGGTAAGCAGTTGGCCACCTGTGACTGGCTGCTGGGATTAACTGAGGAAAGTGTTGTTCGGTTTTCTGCTCATTTACATACTAAGTTAGGTTGTAGTTTGTACAAAAGGACTCAAGCAAGTACAGAGGTTTCCTCTGGCCAAATTAGTTTGATTTAAGAGATTTTAAAACCTTAAGGACTGCATCTTATAAGCAAGACCAGTTGAATGTGCTGGGGCACCCATCTATGTGAAGAACAGCAAATACATAGAACAGACACTACCACAACTCTATAGTGCACCCAATCCATCCCAGCACCCTTTCATTCTGTGCCTAGATGTGGCTCCCTGAACTTTCTCAACACAGTGTTCCAGGTAGCTAGTACTAAATCAGATCAGCTTTTTGGCCAGCTCTTTGGCTACAAGCTGAAATTGCCCCTACTCTCTCTAGGAAGAGAGATGCAACACATGCAACAGTTTCAAAGATACCTAAGTAACATGGCTCTTGGAACATTTTTTTTTTCAGGATTAATTACCACTGCAAAGCAAAACATGGATCGAGAAGTACAGGCCAGGTACGAGATCGTGGTGGAGGCGCGAGATGCCCAGGGCCTCCGAGGAGAATCGGGCACAGCCACCGTGCTGATCACTCTGCAAGATATCAATGACAACTTCCCCATCTTCGCTCAGTGTGAGCCCCTCCCCAGGGCCCTGGGCAGGTGGGAGCTGGGATTCTCCAGACTTAGTGATTTTAGAGTCAATGAAAGGTTCCCCAAGTCCCTCTGCCTCTCTTCCACCCCAGACAAATCACTGGGTTGTGGGAGGGGTCCTGTTTCTGTCCCTGTACTACACCCCCAGGTCCATCATTCCCTGGTTATGGTCCTCTCATAGAGGGAAATTCCACTTCCTACTATATACCACCCCTGTGTCTGGAGCCTGCAATGAGACAGGAACAGCTTCACCCAGATCCTGTGGGCTCAGGAAAACCCAGGCCTTGTTTCTCAGGCTCCAACTAGAAAATCTCCATGAACCAATGAGCAGGAGTACAACCAAAATTGGGAACTGACTCCATCCACATACTCATTCTGCCCCAAAAATGTCTGACTAAAGTTCTTTTCATGCCATGGGTGAGGCTGTATTCATTGCATCCTCCAGTTCTGGTATAAACCAGAGGTTCACCCAGACCAAAGATAGGTCAGTTCTCCTGAAATGACTTTATTGTTCATGGTGTAAGCCCCCCAGAGGCAAGACTTACCTCTCTTGTCAATTGATTGGTCCTCTCACAAAGTGTCTGTCATCTAGTGGGTGCCTAATAACCACCATTGGATGGATAGAGGGAGGGAGGAACAGACAGACAGAACACACTGCTTTGCCTCAGGACACAGAATCTCAAGAGTACTAATACTATCATTATTGACTTTATTTTATTGTACCATTTCTTATATCACAATATAGTAAGATACTATGCTTTCTCTATCTTGTTAACCCATTGCTGTCTGGGGTGCCTATTTGCAGCAATGTATACATTTTCGGTGCCTGAAAACATCCACGTGGGCAGCTCTGTGGGCTCTCTGTTTGTTGAAGACCCAGATGAGCCTCAGAACAGGATGACCAAGTTTGAAATCGTGGGTGGCGAGTACAGGGACACCTTCACCATTGAGACGGACCCCACCCGCAACGAGGGCATCATCAAGCCCATCAAGGTTTGTAGGCCTGCAATAATGTCATCAGACATGGAGTTTGGGGCTCACAGCATCCATGGGACCTTCCCAGGGGCTCCACCTCAGCCAGAGGCCATCAATAGAGACCACTCAGCATTAACTCAGGTTGGCTTTGTGTCATGGAGACTCACAGTGTCTCAAGGTGAGGTACCCCAAATAGGCTTGGAGAATATGATTTGGGTATGTCTTGGGGAGACCCCTGGGAGCCTCAGGGGCAATGACAGGTGAAAAAGAAAAAGAAGCTAGTATGGAGCTCATCATGAGCAGATGGACAAGTGGGGCCCAGGCTCAGGCAGTATACCCAGAGAGCATGTAGAACCCATCTCAGACTTGTAGCACCTGGGGAAAGGAGCTGGGAGGTGTGTACAGCACTGCCTCTAATGTTGACTGTCACTGTTCCTGAGACATGGACTCCTTGACACTTCTGGGCTGCCCTGTGTCCCTTTAATATAGGAAATCTGAAATGAGGTTTCCAGCAAGAATATTGGTTCTGGGGAGTACTAGATGTGGAACCCAAGGCGTTTGCTCTGAGGCACACCTCAGCCTCTCAGTGATTGGGAAAGGCAGCTGCATACACACACAGAAACATAGCTGTTGTTTAGTGCTACACAGCCATACAGGCAGGAAGCAGTTCCTTGTCAGCAGGAGGCTCTGAGAGGACATCTGATTACTGTCTCATTGGCTTCTTGTTTTTTGGGTTTGGGGGGATTTTTTTCCTGTATTTAGGACAGGGTCTACAGGGTCTCACTACATGTAGATTGGACTCGTAGTGATTCTCCTGTTTTCAGCCTCCTAAGCGCTGGGACTACAGGCATGCAATACCACGCCCAGTCTAAATCACTATCTCAGTGCGACCTGGGATGGGGCTGGCACAGCACACCGGGATTCTTGGCTTCTTGAGGAATGAATAGGAGTTTGCCACACTAGCAAGCACAGGCTAACTCTCTTGCACAAAGATATAAAGAAAAGACAGGTCAGTAGAACCAGTGGTGGACCACAAGTCCATGATTCCCTTAAGAGCAGGACCATGGCTGAAGAACTACAGGGCCAGGTACAGAGCCAGGGCTGGGGACAGGCCCTGAGACTGATGAAATGAAACAGAAGAGCGGAAGATAAACACCAGGCCCAGGTGCTCTCTTGATGACCTTGACGATAGCACTATCTAGATTACAGTGTCCAGTGGGTGTCATCCTCATACTGTATTTTTTTTTCTTCCACAGCCCCTGGACTATGAGCTCATCCAAAAATACTTATTTGTTGTGGAGGCCACAGACCCCACTATCAACCTCAGATATTCAAGAGACCGCTCTGGGAAAAACAAAGCCCGTGTCATCATCAACGTTTTGGATGTGGATGAGCCTCCTGTCTTCCAGAGGCGTTTCTACCACTTCCTGTTGAAGGAGAACCAGAAGAAACATCTGATTGGTTCAGTGTTGGCCAAAGACCCGGACAAGACCAAGAGCAAAATTGGGTAAGGAGAGTGGGTGTGTGCATGACAGTGACAGTGACCGTCCTAGCTTTAATGTTCTTATTCCTGCTGGTCAGAGCCCAAAACTCAGAGAAAGAGACTGGCTTCTTCCTCACTTTCTTGGGAAGTGGCAGAGGCAGGACTAGATGGCTAAATTCTTCCAATAATATTCATGGCCTCCCGGTATCTCATCCTGCTAGGGCACCCCACCTGCGTGGCCCAGGCTATCCTCTATTCCACCTTGAAGCCCCTGTGCTTTGGACCCATACTCCCATATATCCCATCTAATGAGCCTTGACAGTCAAGAAAACAACCAATCAAGGGAAGCCCCTGAAGCCCCTGGGTCTAAAGTGTTTCCCGAAAACTACAAAAGAAGTGTTTATTTCACATGGCAAAACAACACGAAGATCTGTAAAGAAAACTTTGCTAAGTCTCACTCCCAGGTAGCTCATATAAGTGACTATGTGGCCCCATCACTCCTTTCTTCATGCCCACACATTTCTGCTGGATTTGTTGTTTTGTTTACAGAGTTCAGTTGTTTTAATCTTTTTTATCCTGTCATACCCATTTCATTGGTACTTTCTGTCTCACAGGTTTTCTGTGATGATAGCCTCAGACCACAGATTGGGTAATTTATCAAAAATTTAGCTTATTGTGAAGACCAAAAGCATGGTGCCAACACTCCATGGTGGTACCTGGTGAGCACCTCCTTACCGCATCCTAACATAGGAGGGGCATCACATGATCAGAGAGAGGAAGGATGCCAGCACACATCGCTCTTCCACTTCCTAACAAGCCATTACTACCATCAGAGGGTCACACCTGCATTATTTATCTAACCTTAATTGATTCCCAATGACCCCATCTCCAAATTCCATTAATATAGGAACTTTGGGGTTAATTTTCCAACAAGAACGTTGGTAGTGGGTGAGTACTGGGTATGGAACCCAAGGCGTTTGCTCTGAGACACACCCCCAAGCCCTTTCTTTTTAAAGACAGGACCTTGATAAGCCTGTTAGTTGCTCAGGCTGGGCTTGAACTTGGAGTTCTCCTTCATTAGCCTCCCAGAGTGCTGGGATCACAGGATGGGGCCACCAAACCAATCTCACCAGCACCTGAGCTTTTGAGGGACATGTTCAAAGCGTAGCACTTGCTCACCTGCCTTCACTGGACTCTACTCCTCCGTCCTCTGGAACAAGGAAGTAGTTCTCATTCATTTTCTAATAAGTGTGAATTCAGTTTTGTTCTGTTCTACATGAGTAGCCAATGGCTCCCACCCCTCGCTGTATACCAAGTTCTTGTATATACCTGCTTGTGTATTCTTGTATAGACTTCTGATTTCTTTCTCTGCTGTTCTGTGGCATTCTGAGTATAGTAGCTTCTACTAAATTTTATTTTATTTTTTCTACTAAATTTTAGCATGTATGAGACAATACCTCCCTCATTGTTTTCATTTTATGTAATTGTTATCTAAACTCATATGCTCATTTTATAGGAGTTTTAGAATATTTTTATCTAGTTGTTTAAAAAATATTGACATTCCCATGAGAATTGCTTTTGTATAAGTTTTGGAAGGGCAAATTTTTTGCACTATTATATCCACTTGTTAAGGACAACATAAATCCTTCCACTGTGGTTGACCTCATCAATTTTGGGACTACTGTCTTCACTGCCATCCTATTCCATATATATATTCTATTTATAATTAGGGTTTCTTCTTTGATTCAGGGTTTTCTATAGGGGATTGACTTTTTTCTTTTTATTTACAAATAGTAGGAATCACTAAAATTTGTTTTAGCTTGTTCTAGGATATGACACAATTACTTTTGTGTCTGTTTTTTCATAAGATATTGAAGCTTTTGTTTTATGTGTTTTAATTTTCTGGCTTCTAAATCTTATCCATATGAAATTACCCAACTTGTTCCATTTCAACATTTGGCTCTTAGTTCCATGTTGCCTGGCATTGATTTTGCCATTTTTATTTTCATATTATTCTTATTTGCCTGATTAAATTATCCACTCCTCACTTTTAACATTTCTAGGTTGTTCCACATGAAGATATCTCTGGAAAACAGAATGCACCTAGCCTTGTTTGTAATCTAAACCGATGTTTTGTGTTCTGCCTAGTCACATTTTTCATCATAAGTAATTCGTTTGATCTTATGTATCTCTTCAGTTTACATTTCTCAATTGTAAGAGTTTTTTCTTGTCCCTCGTCTTTTCTGTAAAATTTTTTCACTCTTAGACATTTGGATGTATTATCTACATTAATGCTTCTACGAGTTCACTTCTACCTGTAAAAATTTTAGCGCTGGTGAGATAGCTCAGTGGACTTAGCACTTGCATAGGCAAGTGCAGGGACTGGGGTTCGATCCCAGCATGGGGCGTGGTGGGGCACACCTGTAATCCCAGTGCTGGGGAGGCTGAAAACAGGAGGATCACTATGGGTCCAAGCTGTGTAGTGAGACCCTGTACCAAATACATTAAAAAATATAATGCTTTTCTAGTTAAAATTATGACATACTGCTGCTTTTATATGTATGATAAAGAAACCAATAACTTCATTGAAATTCCTCCAAAACCAGGTCTTAACTTCATATTGTGATTTTTTTTTCTAAAACAAGTTTTCAAAACAACCCAAGTATTTTACCCACTTATTCTTTTTTATTTTCTTTTTTGTAGGTGATATATCTCCTTAATTCTTACATAGTTACCAAAAAAAAAATAGTTCTTTCCCTTATTACTTTAAGACCTGAGTGTGCTCCTACAGTCCTCAGATTACAGATTCTTCCCTTAAGAAATACTGTCAGTCTGTTCTCACATTTAATTTTATGGGATCATCTGGTGTGAGTCTAATTTCTCTTCCTTCATAAGGAATTTATTTTTTTCCTGAACTTCTGAGCTCTTTGGTTTCTTCACATAACTTGAAATTCCAGTGTCATCAGACTATATCTGAATATTTTCTTTCTACAATTATGCCTGATATAAATAACACCTTTTAGTCTATAGGCTCAGATCTTTCTCCAGATTAGGAAAGTGTTCTCTTACTATCTTTCTTTTTTTTTTTTTTTTTTTTTTTTGTGTGTGTGTGTGGCCAGTTCAACCCACAGGGGTGGGGGGGGGCTGGCTGGCATGTGGTGCTGGGGGATTGAACCGTGGTCCCTGTGCTTTGCTAAGCTTAGCTTGGTCTAAGTAGGTGCTTTAGACCACTGAGCTATCTCACCAGCCCTCTCTTACTATCTTTCTATCATTTGATATGATATGTTTATTCTTAAAGCTTTCTCAGGAATAGCAAAACTTTCATCGTGTGTGCATGTCTGTGTACATTCACTTCTTAACTTTTTTTCCTGGTTTCTGGAAGACTTTTTCACATCTTTCATTCTCAGATTTCTCTATTATTACCTCATCTCTTCTAGATCCTTTTGCATTTCTTCCTGGCTGTTTCCCTCATATCTTTTTATTAATCATTGAAAACAATTCTAGTGTGGTACCTTGATTATGGTGTCTCCTGCTTAGCTCTGTTACTGGCCAAGTCTCAGGTACCCCACTCACTCCTACGATGGCAGTACCACCCAGACCAGACATCACCTCGTGACACTGAGTGCCTCAGTGCTGATATATGGGTCTACGCTGCTGGAGAGGGTGATGGGGAAGGATGCCGGGGACAGATCCTGAAGGACCTCTTCTGTCATGCTGAGGAAGATTGACTTAGTAAATAAAAATAGTAGAAAAACATAAAACTCTCATTGGCAGATACTCCATCCGCAAGACCAGTGACAAGGGCCAATTCTTCCAAATAACCAAACAGGGTGATATTTACAATGAGAAGGAACTGGACAGAGAAATCTCTCCCTGGTACAACCTGACTGTGGAGGCCAATGAGCTGGATTCTAACGGTGAGTAGCCCCGTCATGCAGAAGATGGGTCTTTGCCCCCATTCTTTCAAAGTGGCCATAAATCTGTCCCTTGGGGTCACTAGAGGTATTACAAGCCCGCTGCAGCACTCTTTGGCCTGAAGGTTAGCGCGCTATCATACCTAGTGTTCACCTCGGACTGGCAGCATCTGTATCACCTAAGACCTTGTGAGAAGTGCAGTCTTCACTCCCACTCCAGACTGAATCAAAATCTCATGCACATCAGAGTTTGAGAAGCGATGTTCCAAATTGGCAGTGTAGTAGTGATGCCCCTGTGATGAAAATGACCTGGAGTCCCTACAAGACAGAGAGCTTCTTTTTTTTTTTTTTTTTTTTCGGAACCAGGGATTGAACTCAGGCCCTTGCACAGGGTAGCACTTAGTGCTTTTCCTACTGAGCCATCTCCCTGGCCCCAAGAGAGCTTCTTCAACTCCTTCCTGGAGATTCTGATCCAGTGAGCAAAGATGGGGACAAAGAAACCCACTGCCAAGCACCACGTGGTTCTGATTATCAAGGATGTTTTTGAAAAGCTCCTTGGTGGCATAGCTATTTGCACCGATGAAGGGCTGAATTCAGACTCTGAAACAGCTTTCAGATTGAGATTGTTAGGTTTTCCATAAATTGTGTAGTTTCTAACTGAGGCAAGGGCAACAATCGGGTCTTGTGACCTTGATATATGTGACAAAGTCACAGCCACTATCAAGAAGAACAATTAATAGTCCCACGATCCCTAGGATCTCACCGGGGTCCAGAAGGTGGGTGAATTTTTACTTAAGTAATTACATCACTATCTAATTATTAAACTATATTATTTAATACATTATATTTATTTGCTTAATTGAATTATTCCTTACATGTCAGCAAATGACCTCGTGTCTGAAGATTTAGCCAACCCCATCTTCCTCACATTCCTCTATCCAGAATGTCATCCCTGGTCTCTCTCTCCCAGAGGTCCATAGTGCCATCTTCTTACAAACAGTGACCTTCACCAGACACCCTGCCTGGGTACCCATCCAAACATCTCTCAGCCACCAGAGGCCAGCATCAGCTAACCCACTGTGGTGACAATTCCTTCTCTCTGCAGGGAACCCCACAGGGAAAGAATCCATTGTGCAAGTCCACATTGAAATTCTGGATGAGAATGACAACGCCCCTGAGTTTGCTCAGCCCTATGACCCCAAAGTGTGTGAGAATGCAGCCCAGGGCAAGGTGAGTCTGGCTGGCTGGGAGCAATGTGGGTTGGGTGGGGGGTCCCTTCCACCCTAGAGTTCCACTCAGCTTAATGGAAGGTGCAACAACACTGAGGGAAGTAAGCTTATCCTTATTTTACAGGTAGACAAAGTGAAACTTAAAGAGAATTCTGGAGAGGTTAGTGAGGGTGGAGCAGACAAGACAATGAGAGAAGAAGTGGCCTTGTGGGAACCATTCAGTTTGTTGTTCCACCACTAGGTGACCCTTGAGCAGCAGCTATAGTCAGGTCTAAACCCAAAGTCTCTGTTGCTGAACCCCAGGCACCCCAACACAACAATGACTTTATCCCCCATTTCCCATATTCCAGCTGGTGATGCAGATTTCTGCAGTAGACAAGGATATAACTCCACAGAACGTCAAGTTCAAGTTCGCCCTGGGCACTGATGACAGCAACTTCACCCTCATAGACAATCATGGTGAGCATCAGAGCCATGAGCTGGCTCTTAGCAGGGCTGGGCTGAGGTTGAGCCTTGAAGCACTAAAGTCAAGGACTAGGCCACCCAGTGGGGGAAGGCCTCCATGAGGATTTGCATGTCACAGGATATTTTGTACAACTCTTGCCACACACACTGTTGAATTGGTTCATACAATGATCAGTCACCCTGGCCAAGCTGCCCACTGCACGTGGCCTGTGGGTTCCTCAAAGATGCTGGAGTCAGGAGGATACAAAATAGATACGGCAGTGCAGGCAATAGGTCAGCTCAGTCGTCGAAGGATCTCTTCCCACACCAGGAAGTCTGTGTTTCTCAGTGCCTTAGTGAAATTACAAATTGCTATAGGACGTGGAATTTTAAGGTCACCCCTAAAGCATGAATACTGGAACTATGAAGTCATAAATTCCCCAAATATAGTAAATTTTAATTCATTTATAATGGCTACTTACCACTAGGTGACCCTTAAACAGGATCTGGTTCCCCAGTCAAAGCTCAGAGAGGCATGTGAGGTCAGTAGTATCCAATCAGCTTTTTTAGTGCATATGTGTTTACCCAAGTGATAGTGTTGAGTTGACTTAAGTCCAGAGGTAGAGAAGCATCCACAGTCTGTAAAATTTCCTCCAGAAAAGAGAGAAAATCTTTAAATCTAAGGCACGGGGGCTGTCTCTCCCGGTCCTCGGTTGGCAAGACTATTGCTATCTTGGGAGAAGGCTAAGGTGGTCCAGAAAATTAAGGTCACACCCAGAGAATCAGCTACAGAGCATCATGTGAGGCCATGAATACTCCAGAGGAAGAACTATGTGCATATGTGGATGAAGGAAGTAGTGGCTGTGATGTGTGGATGACAAATAATCCAACACTTAGACGTCTTGAGTAGTGTTTTAGTTATTTTTTTTTCCCACTGGTGAGAAATAGTACCCGACACTCAGCATCAAAAGAAGAAAGGTGTATTTCAGCTCACAATCTGCAGAGGTTTTAGTCCATAACCATCTGGCTCCAAGGCCAGGCAGCATAGTGGAGGAGCACCACAGAGGAGAAATAGTTCATGGTGTGCCAGGAGGAAGCAGCAAGCAGCAGCAGCCATCTGCTGTCCTTCTCTCCCTTTATATTACATGCAGACTGTAATTCTATTGATTGGTGCCACCCACATCACAGCCTTAATTCCAGTATCATACCTTGACCAACATTCCTATACCCTAGTGCAACCAACTTCAGAACTTCCCACCTATAACTACATGAGGCTTTGGTAGAACATCTAGACACAAGCCATAACAAGTAGTAAATAATATATCAAAAATACCTATCTTCCCACTCCCATTGGTAACCTGAAATGAACACAGTATTTCAGTAGGGTGGAAAACCTAAATGCCTCCCCCCAAAAAAACCCAGATGCAATCAGGAGACAAACCTGTTGGTCTCAGAGTTACTTACATTCCGAATGTCAAAATCTCTAGTTTCTCCTATAAAGTATCAATGGCATATAATTCAGTTTGAATCATAATAGACTTAAGACTGAAATGAAATTACAGATAATGAAATGTAATTGGCTTTCATTTGAAATCCTTGGGATTTGGCTGGTTTCCCAAATGTGCCTAAGTAAATCCTCAAACCATCAGCTTTACAACCTCCCAGGAATCTGCAAAGACAGAGTACCTGCCTTTGCACACAGCCACTGAATTAATCTGACTGGAGTGAAGGGAGGGGCCTGAAAATCAAGATGTTTAAAAAGCTCTCTGGGGGATTCTTATGTCAGAAAAAGAGTGACTAGGGCTGGGGTAAGGGTGAGAGCTACTTGCACAGAGCACACAGCCCGCTGCAGACTGCCAGGGAGCCCTCCGTGGCAAATCCAGTCATTCTCTCCTCCTCCAGGGAATGGGGGCATTGTTTTCACTGCTGCAAACTTCCTTTATAATGATGACTTTTCAGAGAAAGAAAGCAAAAACAGTTCTAGAAGCTATGCCAATGCTGAAAGACTTTTTCAAGCAATTGCTGCCCAATTGCTTGTGAAAGTTTGAAGGAGTAATTAGTTGTGACCAAGAAGATAAGCCCTGTAGTTGCAGTGGAGTTGGGGAAAAATGAGAGGACAAGTGTGTCAGTATTTCTTGTTATACAGGTCTTGCATTATCTTGGTCTTAACCATCCAGCAGAAAAGTATAAAAATGAGGTATATAAAGTAAAGCCATATTAATATGCTGAGCTGTGAAAGGCTCAAGTCAACAACTTCTGTAGATAACCCACCACTAGTGTGGACTGCTGGACTGTGTTGGATTGTTTGGCTGAATTCACGCACCTATAGTATTTAGATGCCAATGGAATACCCATCTCTGACAGGACTAAACAAAAAAAAGGAGATACAAAGGAAGGACCATTTTGTATCTGTATATGCATAATAGTTAGGATAGATATACAGCTACTTTCACTTAATTCAACAAGAAGAAAGATTTGTACTAATAGTGTTTGGACAGGATATTCTGTCTGCATCTGGTACTATGGATAACCCCTAAGAAGATAACAATGTATAATATTAATTATTGAAACTGTCCTATTAGTTTTGAAACTGTCTCATTGATAGTCGTTTCTCAAATAAAATAAAATAAAATAAAATAAAATGAAAAAAAAAAGTGAGCAAGGGAGGATTTCACTTTCCGGCTCGGCCACATGCTAGGTCAAGGCAGCCGCCCCAACACCTCTGGGAAGCAAAATGCTGTGCGCCTGTGTGCACGTGCAGAGGCCGGAAATGCAAAGGCAAGGGAGCAGGGGAGGAGGGCTCTCCGGAGGGCGCGGCTTGCTGTGTGGTATGAGCGTGGATGCTCCCCGCACAGCCTTATTCTGCGGCCTTGCTGATTCCAGATAACACAGCCAACATCACAGTCAAGTACGGGCCGTTTGACCCCGAGCACACCAAGTTCCACTACCTGCCTGTGCTCATCTCCGACAGCGGATCCCCGAGCCTGACGAGCACCAACACGCTGACCGTGGTCGTGTGCAAGTGCGACCAGCAGGGTCACTTCACCTTTTGTGAGGAGGCGGCCGCCCAGGCGGGCGTCAGCATCCAGGCTTTGGTGGCCATCTTCCTCTGTATCCTCACCATCGCAGGTCAGTGGCTTGAGGCCCTGAGGGCTTCACCCAACAAGGTGCTGGGGCCAGGGGGCACCCCAGCCTCAGGGATCCAAGCGTGGGACGTGGGTGGCACAGCTACACCCACCTGGCTGCCTGAGATGGGTGGATGCAGGGCACAAGGCCCCTCTCCACCCTCAGGCCAACTCTACTTCCAAACAACCTGAGACTGGGGGCAGCCCACGCTACAGCGCTTGCCAAGCTTGTGTGAGGCTCTGGGTTCAATCACCAACATCGCAAAATAATAACAACGTCAACAACAGCAATAATAATAATAAGCTATGTACATATTTTGAAAAGTTACTCCATGCCAAGCACTGTTCTGGGCATATATTTACATCAAACTCATTTTAAATTCTTAAAAAATAAGATTCAGTTCCAAAATGAAATGTTTTAAAACTCAGTTTACATCATCACCAGGGGTTTTCCTTCCTTTTACACTATCCCTCCAATTTTGATCTTTACTTTTCCTCCGCTGGGCCTCAGGTGTGTTTGCAGCATTCTAAGGCTCCTGATCCCCCAAGACGCAGATGCTGGGTGCGAGGGGTTTCTTGGAAGGAGCTCCCTGGAGACTTCCTGAGGAAGGAGGGAAGGAAGCAGCTTGTGAGGTTGAGTTGTCACTAGAGTTATCATAGCAATGGCTTCTTCCTCAGGAGGGCAGAGGCATCAGTTCCTGTCCCAGGGCTGCAGGCTCCTCCCAGGGGTGTAAATTCTGTCCTTTACCCGCCGTGGAGGACTTAGCAGTCAGCCCTTGGGGATCAGATCAGCCTGTGCACTACGCTGCTGAGGCCCTGTGAGCCAGGCTTTCCCTGCCAGTGTTTCCCCTGGAAGGTCCCCTACCAGGGCTTCTGTGACACTCCAGGTTGCCCGACTTTAATAATAAAAATAATGGCAAAACAGTCACCCACAGAACTGATTTAATCTCATAACCATCCTCCCAAATATAAGCAGAACAGAAACATCATCATTTCCATTTTACAAGGAAACTAAGACTCAGGTTGGGGCTCCCAGGGCACATGGGCTTCACTTAGGTATGTGACAGCCTGTTGAGTTCCTTGAGGCTAGAACAGAGCTCAGGGCGGTGGTCTGAGCCCGATTTTGGAGGCTCCCTGTACCACAGGGTCTGCCCGCTGCTCAAACAGCAAAAGCCCACATGCAACCACACCACCTCCTGGCCAGGGCACCCTGGGCTCAGTTGGCTTAACTGTAAAATAGGGATAACATTTCCTTGCCTGGATATGGTGGCACACACCTTAAAACCAGCTACTTGGGGTGCTTAGGAAGGAAGATCACAAGTTCAAGCCCAGCCTGAGCAATTTAGCAACTTAGTGAACCCCTGTCTTAATTTTTTTTAAAGTCTGGGGATGTGGCTTAGTATAAAAGCCCTGAGTTCCATGCCTTATACCAGAGAAAAGCAAGAAAGCAAGGGAGGAAAGGCCAGAGGGAAGGAGGGAGAGAGAAAAATGTAGCTCAGTGGAACAGCATTCCTGGATTAAAATCCCAGTGCCACCAAAATATAAAATCTACACTGAGTGAGATAATGTGCGCGTCGCCTTGGGTGGTTCCAGTTTATAAAGTAGGTGCTCAAAAGAGTGGCTGCTGCTACTGAATAGGCACATCGACTTGCACGGTTATCCAGTTAACTAGCATCACAGTCTCAACAGAGCAGTAGTTCCAAATCTTGGCACACAAAATTCCAGCTCCACCCCCTCCCCTATGTCTGCCGCTGCTGTGGTCTCCTAGCCTTTGGAGATGACATGGAAAGACGTGCCACCCTGGTGTGAGGGCACAGGAAATGAAGGCTCGTGTGCTGGCGGTGGAGGCTGCAGAGGAGAACAGGTCCAGGAAGGCCCACCCTGCTCCTTCCATCCCCTTACTTAAGCCAATGGGGAGTGTGTCCCCCCGGTGGGGGTGGGCTCCTCAGGGAAGTGGAGCACACCAGTCCCGGAGGTGTACCTGGAGCCCAGGCAAACGAATCGGGTGCCCCTCTTCCACCACCACCACTATCATCACCACCACCCCTTCCCCCCCCCTCCGCCCAGCCTGTCTGACACTCCTCTCTCTCTCTCCCGGTGGTCAGTGATCACCCTGCTCATCTTCCTGCGGAGGCGGCTCCGGAAGCAGGCGCAGGCCCACGGCAAATGCGTGACCGAGATCCACGAGCAGCTGGTCACCTATGACGAGGAGGGCGGTGGCGAGATGGACACCACCAGCTACGACGTGTCCGTGCTCAACTCCGTGAGGGCTGGTGCGGGCAAGGCCCCGCGGTCGATGCTGGACGCCAGGACACCCATCTACACCACGGCACAGAAGCCACCGCGGCGGCCGCCTGCGGTGCACAGCGGGCCTGGGGAGATGGCCACAATGATCGAGGTGAAGAAGGAGGAGGCAGACCAGGATGGCGGAGTCCCGCCCTACGATACACTGCACATCTACGACTACGAGGGTTCGGAGTCCATCGTGGAGTCGCTCAGTTCCCTGGGTACAGATTCCAACGACTCTGACATTGATTACGACTTCCTCAACGACTGGGGGCCCAGGTTCAAGATGCTGGCGGAGCTGTATGGCTCCAGCCCCTGGGAGGAGCTGGGATATTAAGGCTTAGAGAGCTGTGGCCCTGGGGACTCAACCCACAGCAGCGCAGGCCAGTCGGACAGCAGACATCGAGCCATGCAGGGTGGCACTGACTCCCCAGCCCAGGATCCTTTCTTCTTGGACACCAAAGACCTCACTATTCCCAGGGTACCAAGCTCCAGACCCTTGAAATACCCAGGAAGATATTTCAGTGATGGCGACGCCATAAATGTTGGAAAAGCCAGGCTTCTGTATTGTCTACGGTGGAAGGTCGCCCTGCTGCCCCCATGCCACAGATCTAACTCAGAGACTTTCTTTGGCTCAACAAAGCTGCCAAGCCAGCCAGCCCAGGTTCAGTTGCCATGGGATTGTCCCCTGCGGACACTTAACCCCTGGTGGAGCTGGTATGATTTTTGTGACTCTGCCTGGTGGCAGGGGGTGGACAGTATGACCTGTGGGAGAAGACTGCAACCCAGTCCCCAGGGAGACTGCGATTGTGCATTGCACAGCTGTCCAGAGCCCCAGCTGTGCGTGAACCCTCACACTCCCTCGGTTCCCCAGGCCCATCAAGAGGGAGAAAGGCACCACATGGTAGCTCCTTCCCCTCGGTCCTGCAGTGACCTTGCTGGCCTGCCACTCCAGTAACTGCTGTACTGAGCATTGATGCATTCAGCCACATTCAGGGAAATGGCTTCCTGAACTTAAAGCAACTGTGAATTCATCCTGTAGGGACAGTGACAACCAAGAGTGACATCATAGGCTGAAGGCCACCTCCACACCCACTGCCTCTGCAAAAGGCTTAGAATAGCTGAGAGCCGGATCTGACCCTCATGAACACTCCCCTAGGCTTGCCTGTGAAAGGGCAGATGTTTCCAGAGCAGAAGACCCACCCCCATCTCCGCCTCACCTGATCCCAGAAATTGCTTTTTCTTCTTTTCTGTCTCTTGACTTGGAAGCATCCATGATGTGTCGGCCCTCAGCAAGCCTAGCAGGGCCCACACCCAAACACTGCAGGCTGTGCAACAGAGCCTGCCAGTTGCCTTTATGCCTTGTTGCCATGTCTCAGGGAACCGGCCCTCAGCCACACCTGCGGAAGGCAAGGCCCCGACCTGCCCTGCCCTGCCCTGCCCTGCCCTGCCCCACTCTGCAGATCCTGGCCTCTACGTGGCTCAGAGAGAGCTGTGTTTGAAACTTCCCGCTGCACACAAGTCTTGAGGAGGCAGCATCCAGACAGCGCAAGGAAATACCACACGCTCCAGCTTACCCTTCGTCACAAACCACGCTGCCCACGCAGGGGACAGCCTCTCATACTGAAGGGACTGGAAAGAACACTGACATTTTTTAACTAATCATTTGGTTTTTATAATGACTTTTTTTTTTACTAATAATACTTACAAATTTCTAGCTCTCACGAACATATAGAATAAGGGTTTCTCATAATAAGTAGATTGTTATTTAGATTAACAATTTTAATTCCGGCTTTGTCATTGGACAAACATTTCCTGTAACCTTGTTTCCTATCATTGTAGTGGTTCCTCTACAGATAACGATCATATTTTGGCCACACTGGTGCATGAGATGTACTGTATTTTTTTATGCCTAAATAAAAAAAATTCTTGGAATTTTTCCATTTCTAGAGCTGATAGTGGTCATGGGAAACGCACATATGCATATACAAGCATACATCACCACTTTCATCAGAAGGCAGGGGGACACTGGAGTCATGTAGGAAAATGGATTGTAACAGAAAATGACACTCAAGACCCAGAGCCTTCCCCAGACCCTGTCTAGCTCTCTCCTCCCATCGGCCCGGCAGCCGTGGCTTCTGGCACTCAGAACTGCGACACCAACTGCAAATGGCAAATGAAGAGCCAGCCTCTTCCTGGGCATGCGTACAGCCCTACCCACATGTATGGGCTACTAGATCCTTAGGAACATGCTGGCACTTTTCAAAATCCCTTATGGATGGACATTCCTCAAGTTTTCCTTTTAGAATTAAAGGTCAGTTTCCTGTTTGCCCCCGCTGCTCTTACCAGCAGAGACAGACACATGGGAAATGAGCTCCCAACCAGGTCAAATAACCCAACTTGCAAATGGGGTGCAACAAGGACAATTCCCCAAAGCTGGGCTGAGGAGGTGTGCCCACCTATTCTGTCCTTTTTGGGACTGCTGGTTTTCACTGTGACTATGAAACTATTGGGACTCATGGCTACTGCTAGGTTTGGGTGTGGGGACAGAACTAGAACAAGTTAAAAATGCCACAAAGCCCACTGTATCAGCCAAAATTTAGCCCTTTGGCTCGGATAGACACACTGATGGTTTCTGTGTGTTGTGTTAATTTCCAGCATTTTGCAAAAAGTTGATTGTGACTTTCTTGCCAGTATCTTTGATACCACTGGTAGAGGACATCCTTGCTCTGCTATTCCTGCAGATGCCACCCTCTGAGACTGCCTTGGGAGCTCAGCTTTCCCTCCTGTCTGAAAGGCCTGTCCCCCAAACTCACAGGCTGTGCAATCCCTGTCCCCTACTTCCTTCTTAGAGAAGGCCCCTTAGATCCCCAAGTCACCTCCAACTGAGCTAATCCCTGTGGCTCCTGCTCTCCCGGGTGGAGTCAGATGTTCTGTTTTACTCCTTTAGCCCGAGGTAGGAGTCAGGTGAGGGCCCACTACTGAGAGCCAATGACTTTCTTCAATTCACAGACCTAGGTGAGACCCAGAGAAGGAGGCCCTGCGCCTATAGCAACACAGCCAATTAAAGTGGAGTTGAGGCTAGCACCTGCCTCCTTGCTCCCAGAGCAAGTGGACCTGCCAAAGGCTGGACCAGAAAGCACATTCTGCGCACGTTGCATGGGTCATAGAGAAAATTCCCGCTAGGGGGCGCGCTGTGTCCACATATGCGCCGCGAGGGCCAGCAACCCGGGGTGAGTCCTGGCCTCAAGCACAGCAGGCAGACTGGCTCTGGGTGTCCAGGACCTCGACAGAGAAGTCAGAGTATCAGAGAGGAGACCGCGTGGCCGGGCAGCACCACCCGTCTAGACTCTCGTCTGCAGTAGGCTCCGCAGGGGAGAGGTGGACCCTGATCCCAGCCCTTTCCAGGGCTTGGGAAGCCTGTCCCTCCAGCGCTCAGGCAAGCACAGAGCACCTCAGCTCACAGGAGCAAGTGGCCTGGCCCCTGGGTCCTTGGGCTTGTGAGGGTCGCAGTGCACCCCACCTATCTCGCAGCTTCGGGGGCCCCTGCCTCGGGTCCACACGCAGCTCTGCTGCCCTGTCCCGTCCTATTTTCACCAAGCCAGACCTAGAGGGTTGGCTCGTCCCTGACCATCTCTGCAGGTCTCTGTGGGTCCTGGTTCCATGCTCCCCCCCCCAGGAAAAATTCTTATGATAAATCCCATTCATGACGTGACACGCTGAGACCTCCCGAGACCTGCCCAGGGCTGTCTGCTACAGTGCTAAATTCAGCGTTACTTACAAAGCAAAAAAAAAAAAGACTATTTCCATGTGGTCATCTCGAGCTCAGTTCAAGGTAAAATACGAAAACAATTCAATGCATATCTACCATCAGATCCCCTTTTTCCTAGTAGACAGCGCCCTCCAGGTTATAGAACTATGAATGACTATTACTATATGATTTCTGAGATTGTCTATAACTGACACGCATTTATAATCAAGAAAGTTCTTAATGTTAATTTGGTTTTTTAAATGTTAAAGAGTACATAACAATATTAAAACAGAAAACTTACAAATGATACGGAATTTCACTAAACAAAATCATATTAATTTAACAGTATTTGTTGTACTGCATAGTGCTGTCTTCAAATTAGTTGTTCAGATTACCATATATATGCATGCAAAATTGGAAGAAGAAAGAAAAAAAAAGTTGTAAGAAATTAAGAAAAGAGTGCCAGCCAGATAGCTCAGGGAATTAAAACGCCTGCTTAGGCAGACACAGTGACCGGAGTTCGATCCCCAGTGTGCTGTGCTGGGCCCATCCCCAGGGTATGCTGACAGTGACTGAGACTGGGCGCGGTGGCGCAGGCCTGTAATCCCAATGCTTGCGAGGCTGAAAGCAGGAGGATCACCACGAGTCTGATCTGTTTAGTGTGACCCTGTAGACCCTGGACTAAATACATTTTTTTAAAAATTAAGAAAATAGAAAAAGGAAAGAAATTGAAAAAAGACCAAAAAAAAAAAAAATTAAGCATTAACTGCTCCTTTCCACAGACCAGCAGAAATCCACAGTGCAATTATCCAAACCATCTTTTTTGCATACATAGATATACCTCTTTTCCCCAGTCCCTCTCCTGTCCTTCTCATCTCAGTTATTTCTTCCTTTTGAACAAATTCATTCACTTTCACAGTATCTATTATACCCTTCAGATTTTATTTATTTTCAAATCCTTACATTAAGGACACAATACAATGTTTGCACTTTCAGGTCTGATTTATTTCACTTCAGAATTTTTCTCTAGATGCACCCATTAACCGATAAAAGCCTCAAATTCAACCTTTTTTATCACCGAATAATACTCCAGTGTGTAAAAATACCACATCTTCTTTATCCATTCCTCAATTCATGGACATTTGGGTTGCTTCCAAGATTTAGCTATGACAAATTGTGCTGCTTAAAACGTAGATGCACATAAATCACTCTGTTATGATATTTTCAGTTCTTCTGGAAAAATACCCAGAAGGGGAATAGCTGGGTAGAATGGGCCTTCCAATCCTGGCTTTTTGGGGAATCTCCACACTGATTTCCATAGTGATTGTACCAGTCTGCACTCCCACCAACAGTGGAGAAGGGTTTCTTTTTCCCCATAGCCCCTCCAGCATTTGTTATTGGTTAACTTCTTGATGATAGCCATGCTTTCTGGGATGAGATGGAATTTCAGTGTTGCTTTAATTTGCATTTCTTGAATGACCAATAATGTTAAACATTTTTTCATATATTTACTTGCCATTTGTGTTTCTTTGTCTAAGAAGTGCATATTCATCTCAGATGCTCATTTTTCGATTGGGTCTTTGAATTTGGGGGACCTGATTCTAATAATTATTTATATGTTCTAGATAGGCTTTTGTCAGAGGGGCAGTTGGCTATAATTTTTCTCAGTTCATGGATTTTCCTAACTCTGTTGGTGATTTCTTTTGAAGTACAGAAATTTTCCAAAAAGATGAGATCCCAGTTGTTGGTTCTTTGAAGTATTTCCTGTGCCATTTGGTTTTTGTTCATGAACTCTCTACCTATCCTTATGTCTTTAAGATTTCTATCTATATTTTCCTCCAGGAGATTTAGTGTTTCTGTTTTAATGTTTAAATCTTTGACCAGTTTTGCCTCTAGGATTACAGGGATAGCTTGGCAGTCTAAGTAGCTGGCAAGCACAAGGATCCAAGTTCAATCGCCAGTACCACATACCATGTGGGTCCCATGTGCTGTGCTGACCACCAAAACCCAGCATGGTGGTACATGTCTGTTATCCCAGCACTGGGGAGGCTCAGACAGGAGGATCACTATGAGTATGAGCTTAGTAGTGAGACCCTGTACCAAATAAATAAATTTTAAAAAAATAAAGAAGAAAGTTAATTAGGCCTGGGATATAGCTCAGTGGCACAAGTGCCTGCCTTCCAAGTATAAGGTCTTGAGTTTCATTCCCAATACCAATAATAATAATAATAATAATAATAACAATAATAATAATAAATCAGTGAATTGGTGTCATGGTTTATACCTAGCTATACCCTCAAAGCCTCATGCAGTTTTAGATGGGGTTTCTTCAGGGGTAACTGACTCTAGACTGTGTGATTGATTCATGGTGCAATGCTGGGATTAGGGGCCCTGGAATTAAGGGTGTGAGTGCCACACCTGCCCTAGGGTAGGAAGCCTGCACACAGTATAAGGAACAGAGAGAGGCTTGTTCTCTGTCTCATTTGTTGCCTCTTCTGTCTTTGGCTTTCTCCATGCCACCCTTCTTCGGAGTCAACTGATTATGAACTGAAACCTCTACAAACTTTGAGCTAAATAAACCTTTCCCCCTTTACTCTTGGGTATCTGGTATGTTGTCCTTGCAATAAGAAAAGTAACTAAAACAACTAACAAGTGAACTTTATCCTCAAATATATTTTAAGCATTGAAATTTTTGTTAAAAATGTAATGTAAGGGCCAGGGTGATGGCTCAGGGGAATAAGCGCTTCCCTGGCAAGCGCAAGGGCCTGAGTTCAATCCCCGGTTCCGCAAAAAAAAAAAAAAAAAAAAAAAAAAAAAAAAAAAAAAAAGATGTAATGTAGCACTTTAAGTTAACTAATTTTTTTTTGAGACAAGGTCTTGCTGTTTCCCAGACTGGCATTTAACTCATAATCTTCATGCCAAAGCCTCCTGAACATTGGAATTACAGGCAGACACACCACAACCAGCTCTAAATTGCTTTTGATATCATTACTTTTTGAAGAGCCATTATTGGGAGGCTAAATAACTATCTTTCTTTTCTTTTACTTTGAAAGGGTTATTTTGAACTCCATCTATGGTTTCTACATTTCTTAGCCTTAGGAGTTCTTTACCTTCAAATTTCCAGCAACTTTCCAGATCAAAGTTAGGTGACCCTAACTTTGGCAGGGTAACCCTCATAGAAGTC